TAACCTGAACACGATAGAGAAAGACGGGGGAAGGGGGGGGGGGGAGCCACTGCAGCTAATCTCGGCGAATCTCGGCGAATCTCGGGTACTCTCGCCGTCCGACAGCCACTGCAGCTAATCTCGGCGAATCTCGGCGCATCTCGGGTACTCTCGCCGTCCGACAGCCACTGCAGCTAATCTCGGCGAATCTCGGCGAATCTCGGGTAGGAGGCCTCGACGGCAATGCCCTGTGCGGCGGCGAGCGCCGACGCGTGCGAGATGGACGCGAGGGTAACTCGCTGCGCCTGCCGGTGCTCGGAGCTGTTGCCCGGGTCGAAGGGGTTGACGACGTGCGTGAAGGAGATCGCCTGCGCGAGAGATGGGCCGAGGTGAGCCGAGGTGAGCCGAGGTGAGCCGAGGTAAGCCGAGATGAGCAGAGATGAGCAGAGAAGAGCAGAGATGAGCAGAGAAGTGAGCCGAGGCTTCGCGACGAAGTGCAAAGGGGGTGGATGGGTGGAGGGTGGGTGGGGGTGGGTGGAGGGTGGGGGGTGGGGGTGCGGGGGGCGTGGCCTGCGCTCGCAGCGGCGGCGGCGCCGTCTGCGCCCAGGTGGTGAACCAGTGCGGCGGCCTCGGCCGTGTCTTGGCGGAGGACGCCGGGGACGGCATCTGCGCTAGCCGCTGCGTCGCGAGGCGGCGCGTCCACGCGTCGCAGCAGCGCGGCGGCTTGGCGGAGGCGGCGGCCTCGGCGAGCCGCTGCTGGATGAAGTCCTGCCGCACAGCGTCAGACCAGGATATGGGGAGATGTGGGGAGATGTGGGGAGATTTGGGGAGATGTGGGGAGGTATGGGGAGATAGGGGGAGATATGGGGAGGTATGGGGCGATATGGGGAGATATGGGGAGATGTGGGGAGATATGGGGAGGTATGGGGCGATATGGGGAGATGGGGAGGTATGGGGAGGTATGGGGAGGTATGGGGCGATATGGGGAGATGGGGAGGTATGGGGAGGTATGGGGCGATATGGGGAGATGTGGGGAGGTATGGGGAGGTATGGGGCGATATGGGGAGATGTGGGGAGGTATGGGGAGGTATAGGGAGATGTGGGGAGATGTGGGGAGATGTGGGGAGACGTGGGGAGATGTGGGGAGATGTGGGAGACCTGCCGCACGGCGTCGGACCAGGTGCCTGCGGGGGAGTGACGCAAGTCGTGAAGATGTACCGGGGGCGTGCATGGAGCGACGACGACAGCGGCACGGCGTGCTAGTACCGCCGCGCAACCCGTCTTCTCGTAGCGCGAGTCGGCATGCAAGGACGCCACACAAGGGCCTGCAGTTCCGCCATCTATCGGCAGCGTGCCCTCGGGCAGCGAGCTCGGCGCGCGCGGGCGCTTCTTCGGCTTGGCCTTGGCGGAGAGGGTGAAGGCGCGGTCGAGGTGCGCCTCGGGCACCTGCGGGCAATCTCGGTCAATCTCGGTCAATCTCGGGCCATCTCGGGCCATCTCGCGGTCGAGGTGCGCCTCGGGTGGGCGGGACGGACGTGTCGGTGGATGTGAGGACGTGTCGGGGGGCATACACACATGTGTGCATATGTGGGTGGGCGTGTGGGTGGGCGTGTGGGTGGGCGTGTGCGTGGGCGTGCGTGGGTGGGCATGCCGGCGTGCCGTGGCGCGTGGGGTGGCGCTGGCTTGGCAGCGCGGGCCGGCGAAGCGGCGGCCGTGCGGTGCAAGGGAGCGAGACTGGAGCACAATGCTGCCGGGCTGTGCGTGTGTGGGGGGAGGGGGAGCGGGCGCCTCCAGAAAGGCCGCGAGGTCCCGCACGTACTCCTTAGCGTTGCCGAGCATGTGCGTGTAGTTGACCACGCGGAACGAGTCGGGCGGGAGGGCGGCGAGCTGCGAGTGCATCTCGTCGAGCTGCGAGAGGAAGAGCTCGACCTACGCGGGAGGCAATCCCGCGCAATCTCGCGCAATCTCGCGCGATCCCGCGCGATCCCGCGCAACCTCGCGCAATCCCGCGCAATCTCGCGCAATCTCGGCTGATCTCCGCACTATCTTGGGTGATCTCAGACGACCTCGGACGATCTCGGACGATCTCGCCGCGGCGCAAGGAGAGAGAAGGAGCCGCCTGCTTGTGCAGCTTAAACGTCCTCCCCGCCCGCCGCCAAATCTTGGGCAGCCCGCGGTTGTTCATCGACATGATTGCGTCGACCGGCTCGCGCCAGAGCGCCACGACCTTGAGCCGAACGCCGGCGAGCTCGCAGAGGTACTGCAGGTCGGCGAGGCGCGGGTAGTGCGTCCCATCCTCCGTCTCGTTGCCTAGTTGTAATATATATAATATAATATAATATAATATAATATAATATAATGTGTCCCATCCTCCGTCTCGTTGCCTAGTTGCGAGAAGGGGTACGAGAACACCTCCCCACCAGATCTCCACCAGATCTCCCCAGATCTCGTTGCCGGAGCGAGAAGGGGTACGAGAACATCTCCCCAGATCTCCCCAGATCTCCCCAGATCTCGTTGCCGGAGCGCGAGAAGGGGTACGAGAACATCTCCCCAGATCTCCCCAGATCTCCCCAGATCTCGTTGCCGGAGCGCGAGAAGGGGTACGAGAACATCTGGCCGATCGGCTGGTACGAGATGTTGCGGTTCTTGCCTGCGCCACAAGGGCGGCGAGGCGTGAGGAAGATATGGGGAGATATGGGGAGATATGGGGAGATTGCCTGCGCCACAGGGAGGCGAGGCGTGAGGAGCCTAGGGCTCGAGCTCAGACATGGGGAGATGTGGGGAGATGTGGGGAGATATGGGGAGGTGTGGGGAGATGTGGGGAGGTATGGGGAGATATGGGGAGATATGGGGAGATATGGGGAGATATGGGGAGATGTGGGGAGGTGTGGGGAGGTATGGGGAGGTATGGAGAGATGTGGGGAGGCATGGGGCGAGGCGTGAGGAGCCAACGCTAGAGGCCGTCCTCGCATTCGCCTTCCCGGGACCCGGTGCTGCCTTCTGACTGTCGTCGCTGTCTCTCCCTTCTCGACTGTCTGTGCTTGTGCGTCTTGGGTCCCGGGGCTGTGTGCTTGCGTGAGGAGCCTAGGGCTCGCGCTGAGAGGGGGGGTGTCGACCCTCGCGTGGGACTCGGCGCGTTGCCTGTCTGGCTAGCCGCTCTCTGCCAGTCTGCCCGTTCTCTCGACTGTCCGTGGCGTGCGATCTGGGCCCCCGGGGGTGTGCTGCTGCGGTGTGAAGAGGCCGCCTCTCCCCACAGCCGCTCCAGGCGCGGGGAGTGCGTGGCGGAGTCCGTCGGACCAGGCTCCCCCCAGGCTCCCCCGCCGAGGGGGTGGAGGCATCCTGGCGAGATCTCGGCGAGATCTCGGCTAGCGGTGCCAATCTCGGCTGCATCTCGGCTACATCTGCCGTCGAGCAGCCTGCCCTCGCGCTGCAATCTCGGCTGCATCTCGGCTGCATCTCGGCTGCATCTCGGCTACATCTGCCGTCGAGCAGCCTGCCCTCGCGCTGCTCCTGCATGCCCGAGATCCACGAGCAGTGCTTCATGCCCGACAGCCGAAGGCAGGTCCGCGCGCAGAAGGCGGGGTGCTTCCCGAGCGAACGAGCCGCCTGCACCCACTCGTGGAACGCCTGCAGACACGCGTCCCCGCCCCGTCCGGGACATGTCGTGGAAGTGTCTGCGGCGCTGCAGCCCGCGAGAGGCTGGGGGACCTCGACGGCGGCCCAGAAGGTTGCGGGGGTGCGGTCCTTCGGCTGCCACCACAGCGCCTGCGGTTCAGACTCCGAGACACTTCCGAGACACTTCCGAGAACCCTCCGAGCCGTGTGCCGTGCCGCCCGCGGCATCGGCGGCGCCTGGAACATCTGCTCCTGCACGAGGGTCATCGGCATCAGCTCGGAGAGGCGCATCATCACCGCGGTCAGGAAGTGGTGCCCCGTCCCCTCGGCCCCCGCCACGAAGATCAGGTTCGTCGGCGCCACGCCCGGTGCGCTGCCCCCGCCGCCCTCGGCCGACGCTCGCGCGTACGGCCTGTGGACGCGTCGCGGACGCGTCACTGGACACGGCGGCGTGGAGGTGGGGTGCGGCGGTGTGAGTCGGGGTGGGCGTGTAGCGGCGCGGCTGGAGCGGAGCCGGAGGCGCGGCGCCGTGCGGTGTGTGTGAGTCGTCGCTGGAGTGGCGGCTGACGCGCGCCGCCAAAAGGTCTCGTCGATCGGCGTCTCGATCTTGAGCCGCCGCTTGACGTTGCGCAGAAACTCGACCTGCGACTGCTGCCCGAAGCCGTCGCTCGGCGGCGGGCTCGGGGCGGAGGCGTCGCTGTCAGAGGCGTCAGAGGGCAGCGGCGACGACGCGGAGCCGTCGGCCGGCGCTGACCTGTCGGGGCCTGGGTCGGCGAGAAGAGCAGCGCCGTCGTCAGGCTCCTCGCTATAGCTACCAGCGACCTCATACGCGCCGCGAGAGTCGAAGCGGCCTCGCAGCCCACCCTTGTGCAGGAGCTGCGACTGGATGACTGCAGAGGAGAAGCAGACGGCCGAGAGCGAGATCGTGGCCCACGTCATGAGCCGCAGCACGGACAGGGAGCGCTCGGGAGGGGCGGCGGCGGCGGAGCCGGCGGCAGCGGACGGCGCCGTGTACGCCTCCGACGCGAGCCGAGTTGGAGCCGTTCTCGCCATACGGAGAGGAAGTGGAGCGACCGGCGGGCACCTAAAAAAAACTATTTTTTTGTTTCATATCGTCGAAGACGTTCGGCGGCTTCGGGGACGGCGTCCGCAGAATTCTTCGGCAGGCGGCGGACCAGCTGAGTAACAAACTTTCGCACGCTCAGCACCTCGATGAGGTCACATGGACCACCAAGAACTGGCACGGGCTGCAGATGCAGCGCTTGTCTGTCGTTCTCCACACCGCCGTGGCGTGGCAGACGGTGAACGAGCTAGCGTGCGGGGACAGCGGCATTGTGCACGGAGCTAAGTGCATTGCCGTTCTTAACGGAGTCGCTTAGGCGGCTCCGGTGGTGTGCCGGTGATAGTACTAGCACGCGCCAGTTCGCACCTGTGTCGAGCCTGTCTGCTGTGAGAGAGAGTTGTTTTGTCTAAAATATCGTCGAAGGCACGGGCAGAGGAGCGAGAGAAGAACATAGAATGGATAGGGCGCCTGTTCACGGCATGGAGGGTGAGCCACGATTTTTTTGCTGATTCAAGGCAAGCTCAAAAAAAACCGCCTGGCGACGGCGCTCACACAGCACACGGGAGAATTGGCGAGAGACTGCGAAGAGATGGGAAGAGGCAGACGCCCAAGGGTGGGCGACAGCTAGCACCACACTCCTCTCCAGCAACCATTGAGAGGGGAGGACGGCACGCCGCCACCACCGGGACGGGGGATTTTAAGGAGAGCTGGAGGAAGTATCGATAACATTTAACATCCCAGCTCGAACCTCCACGCATCACGGTAGTACTGCCACCTCTACTCGACCCACGTAGTAGTACACTCTCTCAGCCTGTCGCGCGCGCGGGCGATGCGGGCGAAGGCAGCTGTGACGCCTTCTTGTACTCCTCCGAGGCCCAGAGCAGGATGGGCTGCTCCTTGTCCGAGCACGGCGCCTCGCCCGGGGGCAGCGCCTCGTTCGCCTCTGCGTTGACGGCGGCCCAGAGCGGGTGGGCGACGTAGCGGATGCCGTGACTCGGCAGCACGACCACGATGGTCGACCCCTTGGCCTCCGGGCGCGCCGCCACGTCGAAGGCGTACTTGATGGCCGCGCCCGACGAGGGCCCAACCATCATTCCCTCGGCCGACGTCACCTGCAGGCACGTCGCGACGGCCTCCGAGGTCGCGACGTGCCCCCACTCGTCGACGACGCCGCGCGGTGCGTCCGACAGCTCCTCGGGCGCCTGGAGGTCGCGTGAGCCTCAGCTGGCTGGTGGGGCGCTGTAGGGACTTGGCTGTCCCTCTCGCGTGCCTTGCCGAAGCCGTCGAGGAACTGGGAGTGGACGCCGGGCGCCCAGCCGACGACGCCGTGCGGCTTGGGCGAAGCGCCGGTGTGCACGCGCGCCTCGGTCGGCTCGAGCGCGATCACCTGGTGGAGGTGAACTTCTCCCCACGCTGGTGTGGGGCAGAGGGGCCACGTCTAGAGACGGGGACATTGAAAGTCCAAAGAGCGGTGTGGTTGAGCGGTGCGTGCGTGTGTGCGCGTGTGCGGTCACCCGGCACTTTGGGTTGACCGACTTGAGGTACTTACCGACCCCGGCGACGCAGCCACCCGTGCCGATGCCGTGGATGAAGTAGTCGACCGCGCCGCCGGCCAGCTTCCAGATCTCTGGTCCGGTCGTCCTCTCGTGCACCGCCGGGTTGTCCGGGTTGCCCAGCTGGTTTGGCCACCAGTAGTGCGGGTTCGCGGCGAGCTGGTCCTTGACGTACTTGAGCGCACCGGGCGCGCCGAGCGACGGGTTGAAGAGGTGGACCTCCGCGCCAAACTGGCGGCAGATCAAGTAGCGCTCGAGCATCGGCCGCACCTTGGGCATGATGACGATGCACTTGTAGCCCTTGGCGGCGGCAACCATCGCGTAGCCGATGCCCGTATTCCCAGACGTGAAGTCGATGATCGTGGTCTTGCCCGGCGTGATGTCCCCACGCGCCTCCGCCTCCTCGATCATGTTGAGAGCGATCCGGTCCTTGAGGGAGCCGCCGGGGTTCTGCATCTCCAGCTTGCAGAGAATCGTCGCCTGCTTGGACGCGGCCGGAACGCAGCGGTCCAGCTTCACCATTGGCGTGTTGCCGACCGTCTCAAGGTACGAGCATGCAGGTGGCAGAGGAGCGGTGTCCATGATTGTAGACGCAACGTGATCGCTGTCTGCTATTGCCGCAGCCGCTTCACAGCTGCTCCTGTGGGAAGAGACCACGCTCGTGGGTGCGCTTCTTAGCTGCCGTGCCCCGGATGTGAGGTTGCCGACTGCCCTGGCGAGTAGAGGCCCCGCCCACCCAGGGTACCCTCTCCGAGGGCTCTTTCGAGGGCTCGCCGGGGCTCTGCTCCAAGAGACCTCGAGAGAGCGTGCGTGTGCCTCTACTCGCCAGCCGACTGCCTCCAAGACCAAGTGCTCCAAGAAACGAGGGGGCGGCCAAGGCGCAAGGGAGGGATACATACACACAGGAGGATGGGAGGACGGCACGCCGCCACCACACAGGGATTTTAAGGAGAGGAGTGTGGTGCTAGCCGTCGCCCACCCTTGGGCGTCTGCCTCTTCCTATCTCCTATTCCTATCTCTCTTCGCAGTCTCTCGCCAATTCTCGCAGCGACCTTCATGCCGCCTCGCGGTCTTCTCACTCTCGACGTTCTCTCTCCTGTCGCTTCCTGGCCGCCTTCTGATTTCTTTCTTTCGCGCCAGAAAGAAAAAGAAATTTCGCAAAATCCGGTCGCATGGCGGCGGCAACCCTCATCCTGAAAGCACATCCAGATCGACGAATCGGCCGTCCATTTCTTGCGGCGGGCAGTCCATTACGCGCGAACCGCGACGGCCCATACGACCATCCATCGTGCGCGCGAGCATGCCGCGGGACCGACAGGTGTCACATGTGCCGACGGAGTGGTTCGACGGCGTCTCGGGTGGAGTGGACAGGTGGGATGCGGCCGATGATGATCGCTCCGTCGGCGCACACTCTCGAGAGCGTTCGAAACCACACTTGTACACTCTTCTCCGCCAACAATTGCCCTGCTTGAGCAACGGTGGGTGTAGCTGGGCTGTGGATAGGTATTAGCTGGAGTCGCGTATTGCGTGGCAGACGACTCGACAAGCAGCAGGGCGGAGCCGCCCAGCTGGCTAGTCATTGCACCTGTCGAGCGAGCGGGCTCCACCGCGCAGTCGCGTCATCGGCCTTTTGGGGAGTAGTAATGTGTATGTACCCAAATCGGATCGCGTCTCCGTCATCGCAGCCACGACTCCGTGAGCGAAAAAAGAATTTATGTACGGCCTCGGCGCCCCGCCCGCCATGCCAGTGTCAGTGTGTGGCACGTCGCCTGCCGACGCGCCGCTGCTCGGCCAGCGCGTCGAGCTTGGCGGGCTCTCTTCCCGTCCCGAGCTAAACGGGAAGCGGGGCGTGGCGCGGAGCTTCGAGGGTGGTCGGTACGCTGTGGCGCTCGAGGGCGGCGGCGAGAGCGTGCGGGTGCGGCCGGGTAAACTGTCGTCGGTGGCGGCGGAGCGGGCGTCGAGCGGTGGCGTGGCAGTCTCCGATGACGTCATCGCAGCGACTGAGCGTGGCGACGAGGAGGCGGTGCTGGCGTGGCTCGAGGGCGGCGGACGGGCCGACGCGACGTACGAGAGAGGCGGGACGAGCGGCCTCACGCTGCTGATGAAAGCCGCCCGCCACGGCCACGAGCGGTTGATCGAGTTGCTGATTCGGCACGGCGCTAAGGTCAACCTGATGGACAGCGACGGCTTCACCGCGCTGATGGACGCCACCTTCTTCAACCGCGCCGCCGTCGTGCGGCGCTTGCTGCGGGCGGGCGCAGACACGGCGGCGCGCACCACGAGCGGCAAGACGGCGCTGCAGGTTGCCAAGGAGAATGGCAACACCGAGTGCGTCAAGGCCTTCAGGCAGCACGTCAAGGAGTCGGTCGTGGCGGGGCGGCCCATTGCGGCGGCAAACAACGGCGCAGGCGCAGGCGGCGCTTCCTCGGGCGGCGCTTCCTCGGCTGGATCGAGAGTCGCGAAGACGCTATCTCCAGCAGTGGCGGCGGAGCAGGCGTCGAGCGGTGTCGTGACAGCCCCCGATGCGATCGCGGCAGCGGCGGAGCGAGGCGAGGAGGAGGCGGTGCTGGCGTGGCTTGACGCCGGCGGGCGGGCCGACGCGACGTACGAGAGAGGCGGCGTGAGCGGCCTCACGTTGCTGATGGGCGCCGCCAGCAACGGCCACGAGCGGCTGATCGAGCTGTTGCTGCAGCGCGGCGCGGAGGTCAACCTCCAGGACAGCGAGGGCGGCACCGCGCTGATATGCGCCGCCGGCAACGGCCACGAGCGTGTGGTCGACTTGCTGATACGGCGCGGCGCTGAGGTCAACCTGCAGAACAGCGACGGCCTCACCGCGCTGACATATGGCGCCCTCTTCAACCACCCCGCCGTCGTGCGGCGCTTGCTGCGGGCGGGCGCAGACACGGCGGCGCGCGATGCGAGCGGCAAGACGGCGCTGCATTGGGCCAAGGAGAAGGGCCACGCCGAGTGCGTCGAGGCCTTCCAGCAGCACATCGCGGAGGTGGCCAAGGCGTGGCGGCGCGAGGCGGCGGCGGGCGGCGCGGGCGGCACTTCCTCGGGCGCGGCAGCGGCAGCTGTGGACGCGCCGCTCCTCGGTCAGCGCGTCGTGCTCGGCGGGCTCTCTGCCCGCCCCGAGCTGAACGGGCGGCGGGGCAAGGCGCGGAGCTTCGAGGGCGGGCGGTACGCTGTGGCGCTCGAGGGAAGCGGCGAGAGCGTGCGCGTGCGGCCTGAGAGGTTGCGGCCAGTGGCGGCGGCGGAGCAAGCGCCGAGCGGTGTCGTGGCAGCCCCCCGTGCGGTCGTGGCAGCGGCGGAGCGAGGCGAGGAGGGGGCGGTGCTGGAGTGGCTCGAGGGCGGCGGGCGGGCCGACGCGACGTACGAGAAGGGCGAGGAGAGCGGCCTCACGCTGCTGATGGGCGCCGCCTACTACGGCCACGAGCGGGTGGTCGAGTTGCTGCTGCAGCACGGCGCGGACATCGACCTGCAGAGCAGCGACGGCGGCACCGCGCTTATTGACGCCGCCTTCTACGGCCATGCGCGGGTGGTCGAGTTGCTGCTCCGGCACGGCGCGGACATCGACCTGCAGAACAGCGACGGCGGCACCGCGCTGATGGCCGCTGCCGGCAACGGCCACGAGCGGGTGGTCGAGCTGCTGATACGGCGCGGCGCAGAGGTGAACTTGCAGAGCAGCAACGGCGGCACCGCGCTGATGTACGCCGCCAGCCTCAATCACACCGCCGTCGTGCGGCGCTTGCTACGGGCGGGCGCAGACACGTCTCACACTGTTGACGGCGAGACGGCGCTGCAGCTGGCCGAGGAGAATGGCCACGCCGAGTGCGTGCGCGCCCTCGAGGAGCACTCGTCGGCCGCGGCGGAGGGGGAGACGGCGGTCGCAGAATCAGTCGAGCAGGCCGCGGCGGCCGCACGCGAGGCGGCAGCGGCTGCGGAGGCGGCGGAGGCGCGTGATGCTGCCGAGGCTGCGCTGCGCGAGGCGGTTGCGGCGTGCGGCCGAGGCGACGCCGATCTCGACGCGCTCAGGGCGGCGATCAACGCAAACACCACCCAGGTCGCCGACGGCTCGGAGGCGCTGCGGGCGGCGCGGCGGCTGCGCGACGAGCTAACGGAGCGAAGGACCCGTGAGGCCAGGGCGCTGAAGCGGCAGCGGCAGAAGGAGGAGAAGGCGGCGGCGAGGCAGGCGGCGGAGGAGGCGCGGGCGGCGGAGGAGGCGCGGGCGGCTGAGGCAGCTGCGGAGGCGCGGGCGGCGGAGGAGGCGGAGGCGGCGGCGCGGGCAAGGGAGGAGGCAGAGGCGAGGGCAAGGGAGGAGGCGGCAAGGGAGAGGGAGGAGGCGAGGATGAGGGCGGCAGCGGAGGCGGCGGCGGCGGCGGAGGCGGCGGCGGAGGCGGCGGCGGAGGCGGAGCCGGAGGTGGCGGCTGTAGAGGCGGCAGTGGCGGCCGTGGCGGCGGCGGAGGCTCAAGAGGCGGCGGCAGCGGAGGAAGTGGCAGCAGCGGCGGCAGCGGCGGCTTCGGCGAGTGTCGCCGCCCTCGCCGCCGCCGCCGCGCCGCCCGCCGCCGTCCCTCTCGACGAGCTCATCGCGGCGACGGACGGCTTTGCCGAGGCGCGCAAGGTGGGCGAGGGAGGCTTCGGGCGCGTCTACCGCTGCGACGCGCTGCCGTCGCTCCCGCGCGTCGCTTGCGGGTTCGCCGTCAAGACGGCGCTGGTCGGTGTCGGCGCCCAAGGCCTCGCCGAGCTGCAGAGCGAGGTGCGCACGCTCAGCGCAGCGTGCCACCCGTCCCTGCTTCCTCTCCTCGGCGTCTGCTTGGCGCCGGCGAGAGCGTGCCTCGTCTACCCCCTCTGCCGCGGCGGCAGCCTCGAGGACCGCCTCTACCGCACGCCAGCCGCACTGCAGCGGCTCCGCATGCTCGGCTTCGAGACGCCGCCTCCGCCGCTCACCGCCGCCGCACGGCTCCGCGTGCTGCGCGACGCCGCGAGAGCTCTGCACTACTTGCACACGCGCTCTCCCATGATCCTACACCGCGACGTCTCGGCGGGCAACATCCTGCTCGACGAGCGCGGCAACGGCTACCTCGCCGACGTGGGCCTCGCGCGCACGGCAGAGGCGACGGCCGGCGGCAACGGACAGGTCTCGCACCTGTCGACGCAGCGTATCTTTGGCAAGCCCGGCTACATGGACTCGATCATCATGCACGACAACCAGGCTTCGCAGCTCACTGACGGCTTCGCGCTCGGGGTCACGCTGCTCGTCAGCCTGACCGGCCGCGGCGCCGTCGGCTTGCTCAACGCGTGCGACGATGCATTGGAGGAGCCCGACACGGCGGAGGGCATCGCGGCGGCTGACGTGGGCTGGTCGGCGGCGCAGGCCGAGGAGCTGACGCGGCTGGTGGTCGGGCTGGCATACGAGCGGAAGAAGAAGCGGATGCCGCTCGCAGAGGCGCTGCCGCGGCTGGAGGCGCTGGCCGAGGCGGCGGGGGAGGTGGAGGAGACGGCTGGGGCCGAGGAGCGCCTGTGTGACCTCTGCTGGGACGCCCCTCGATCGGTCCGCTTTGCGTGTGGCCACGCGCTATACTGCGAGACGTGTGCGCCGCGCGTGCTGGAGCGCGACACCAACTGCCCGGCCTGCCGCCAGCCGGCGCTGCCCATTGCCGCAATTGGGCGGCTGGTGGCGGCGCAGGCGACGTTTGTCTACCAGCCGCCCTCGCGCCCCGCGCCCCAGGCTCAGCCCGTGGGCGTCACAGTGGCGGTCGGTAGGCGAGGGGGGAGAGGGGGGCGTGGACGGGGCGGGCGGGGCGGGCGGGGCGGGCGGGGCGCGGGGCGCGGCGGCTCTGCTTAGTTCTGGAGCACCGGCGCATGATGTAAGTGAGGTGTGTGTGTGCAACGGTCAAATTTCTCAAAAATACACTCACTCACTTACACAACACCGATCCGGATATGCCGGATGGGGCCGAATGGGGGCGGGGCACAATCCACCCAAACGTGCAACATCTCGGAGCTTCGGAGTACGGAGAGCGACAGTGACAACTCAACACTACAGTGGAGACTATGGAGTGGCGCGACCAGCCAGCTAGCCACAAGTGGCGTGCGCGACCCTCCTCTCAGCCCCCGTGCGCAAAAGTTGCGACGCACGCCACTTGTGCAACGGCTTCCGCCTGCAAGCTGCGTACGTATATGCCCGGCGCCGCAGAGGCACAGAGGCGAGGAAAATTTCGTTTTGAGGCAACGCACACACACTCCCCCATGGCGACGCCGTCGCCAAGGGGGAGTGTGTGTCGTCGCGTGTCCTTGTCTGGTGTTTACTAGCTCCGAGTAGAGGGGGCGTTCTGCTGCTAGGGGAAACCTGGAGCGCGGTGCTAACCCTCGGAGACCCGTGTTTATTTTACGGCCCTTTCCCTGCGAACGCGCACCCCCGCCCCTAGCTAGGGGTCAGGGCTCTCTAGCCCGTAGCCCGATGCCGATCATCCGGCTCGCTGGGCGCGCTTCTTAGCTCCCCGGCCCTGGATGTGAGGTTACTGACTGCACTCCAAAAGTGCTCCAAGTGCCCTCGATGATCCGAGAGACTTAGCCCGCATACTCTAAGACCCGCCGATCGTAGACCGCGTAAGCACCCCAGCGTGACGCGTCACACCGCTTAGACCCGTTAAGCCTCGTGGCTCAGAACTTGCTTCAGTTTTCACGGTGCATGGGGGTTTTCACCGCACACCGGCGGACCGGGGCCCGGGGCGCGCGGGCCGTCGCGCGTCCGGAGGGCGCGGGGTTTGCGTGCGGTCGTGTGGCTCTCTGATCTCTTACAGTGTTGCGCGGATTGACATTCACCCATCGACACCCCCACAACTAGGAAATCAACTACTGTGTACTGAGAACTCCATCTTCTGAGTTCTGTGTGAGAGAGTGTTGCTTAGGCGCGCACACACCTATTCTCGCTGCTGAGAGCTGCTCTGCCGTCGCGCGCGGCGCGGTCCGCGGCGCGACACAGTCCCAAATACAATATAGCCCGCCATAGACTGAAGGCGGGCCGCGCAGCGCGACTTCCTCCCGGAGCGCGCGCGCTGCTCGCCGCCCGCCGTGCTGCCCTCCTCCCCCCGTGGACCGCGAGCCGCCGCGGCCGCTACCCAAACGACCAGCCACGTCGCCCGCCGCGGCGGCCGGCGTCGCGATCCCTTCGGTCGGCACGGTCGTCGTCGCTGATGACCTGCTCCTCGCCGAACTCACGGATGAGCTCCTTTTGCCGCTCCGTCGGCTTGACTGGCACGTCGACGTTGAAGTGGACATACCTGTTCGCACAGCCAGGCGCGTCAAGAGGCGCGGTCCCGCAGACGGCACACGTCGACGCTGAAGCGGACACGCACTGGTGGCCGCGCCCAGAGTTCGCCCGCACGCCGCGCCCCTCCATCACGCGCCGGTCGCCCGGCTGCGTACCGGGCGGCAGCTTGAGGGCCGCCTGCAGACCGTGCTCCGTGGAATGTCATGGGCGCGTCCTGGAGAGGGGATGGACAGCGCCGGGCGGCAGCTGCGGGGCCGCCTGCCCCTCAAGCGTCGGGACGACCACCCGCCCGCCCAGCACCGCCTCGGCCAGCGTGAGGCGCACCTGCGTCAAGGGCGGAGCCGCGCGTGGGTGAGAGGCAGTGCCAGAGGCAGTTCTTGGGGGCTGGTGTCGAGGGCCGTAGGAACGTCGGAGGGGTGAGTGGGGTGAGTGAGTGTGAGTGGTGCGGGTGGCTGTGCGGGGGGGCATCCCGCGCCATGACGTGGATGTCGAACCCATCCCGCACGAAGAGCTCGTGGTCCCTCACCCGCACCTAGACACCCCGAGGTGCAGCCGTAGGGGCGGCCGAGGTGCAGCCGAGGTGCAGCCGAGGTGCGGCCGAGGTGCAGCCGAGGGGCGGCCGAAGTGCGGCCGAGGTGCAGCCGAGGGGCGGCCGAGCTCGTGACAGCCTCCTCTCGCACCTCGATGTACAAGTCTCCCGGCCCGGCGGCGCCCGCCTCCCCCTTGCCTCGCACGCAGAGGTTCATCCCCGTGTCCACGCCCGCGGGGATAGGCACCTGCGGGACGTGGCTCGGACATGGGCAGGACGGCACCCAGTGCATGAGCATACCGGGAGTGTGGAGGGCGGTCGATACTCAAGAGCGTCGCGTGAGAGCGTCGCGTGGAGGCGAGGGCTGTATCATACAGCGCATGCGGCTGCAGCAGAGACTGAACGCAGCCGAGCACGTGCCCCCTCGAGTGCCCGCTCGAGTACGGGGGCGCATCTCCCGCATCGGGAGAGCCGCACCTCTGCCGTCTCCGTCCCCTCTGCCGTCCGCCACGAGACCGACTTCTCGACTCCCACCGCGACCTGCGGGCGCGCGTGTCGTGTGGACGGTGTCGTGTGGACTGTCGTGTGGACGGTGTCGTGTGGTGGCGGTGTGGCGGTGGTGGCCGTGGTGGCCGTGGTGGTGGTGTGGCGGTGTGGTGGTAAGGTGTGTGGCTGGCGACGTGGCTGGTGACTTGGCTTGACAGAGCGTGTGGGGATGTGGGAGCAGCGGGCGGCACACAGCGTGGCACATCTCTCGCCACGTCTCTCTCGCGGCGCAATCTCTCGGAACTCTCTCGGAACTCTCTCGGAAGTGTCTCGGAAGTGTCTCGGAAACCTCCTCGAGATCGAGCACAATCTGCGTCTGCACGTCTCTCCCGCGGCGCGGCCCGCGCTGCCGCCGGCCCTGGCCGCCGAAGAGCTGCTCGAAGATGTCGTTGAGGTCGACGTTCGGGTTGTCCGACCGCCACTGGAAGCCGCCGCCGCCAGGGTGGAAGCCCTGGCCAAACCCCTGCCCAGGGCCGCCGCCGCCGCCGCCGCCGCCGAGTCCGGCGTGGCCATACGTGTCGTAGGCCTTGCGCTTCTCGCCGTCGCTCAGCACCTACGGCGCGGGGCGGCGCGAGCGCGTTGGCGGCCGTCGCCGCAGCGGGCACCGGCCGTGCCGCAGCTTCCCCGGGGGCGGGCTCTGGACCTCGTAGGCCTCTGTCGCGGCTGCAAACTTCTTGGCCGCCTCCGGGTCGTTCTTGTTGGTGTCCGGGTGGTACTGCTTTGCCTTCTCGTAGTACTTTCGCTTGATCTCGCCCGTGCTCGCCGTCTTGGGCAGACCGAGCACGTCATAATAGTCTTGCGCCCGCGAAACTGCAGTCGCGTGGAGCGTCCGCGCACCGAGCAAGTGCGACGAGCCGCCGCGCGGCAGCAGCGCAGCAGACAGGAGCGGCGACGGTCGCGCCCTAGCTGCTAGTGACCTGCTGCCCGCAACGCGAAGGCGGGCGGGTATGCTTCTCTTGAGCATGTCGCGACAGCGAGACAGCCGCGAGTCGGACAGAGAGGTCGGACAGAGAGTACGCGACGCGGCAAGCAGATGCACTGCGAAGAAGAATTCTTGAGACGAGCCTCTCTGCGAAGAAGAATTCCGTGGAAAAATCCCTGTGTGGTGGCGGCGTGCCGTCCTCCCATCCCTCCCTTGGGCTGTCCGTTTTCTTTCTTTCTTTCTGCGCACTGGCACTAACACAGGTACATACGAGATTTCTTCTTGCATCTTGCTTCTTGGGTTTCAAAGCGACTCCCGCGAGGGAGGCTCCCGGTTGAGAGATTTTTGACAGAAATCTCTCTCATCGCAGGCGTGAAAAAAGAAACAAAGCCCCACAGGCAAGGATACAAGGGCGAAAGGGTCCCGAGACATTGCGGCACTCGCCCCTACTTCGCAAAGTCCGGCATTGGCCCGATCAGGCCCTTGGCCCAGTGATACTGGTTGAAGGCCTTGTTGCCGTCGTTGTACCTGACAATCTTCTCCATCCACTCTGGGGTGGAGAAGCTGTACGAGTACGGCCACGGCTCGCTATCGAAGGTAGGGAGGACGTATCGGAGGCCGTGGTACAGGACGGACGGCGACGTCATTGGAAAATGCGCAACCTACTCACAGGCAGCGGGGGGCGGCTCAGTGGCGTGGGCGTGCGAGTGCGACGGCTGTGATGGTCGACTCGCAAAGCCAGTGTCAAAGTCAGTGAATATGCGGCAGGACCAGAGGTAGTCGGGGGCGTCGTCGGCGGTGACTTCGATGGTGGCGACACACCCCGGCGCGTTGACGTACTGCATCTCGGACAGAATGCCCCAGTACTTGATGTTATCTGCCATCTTGCCATCCTTTATTTTTCGCTTCGAGACCCAGATGACGGGCGCCCCGGCCTTGAAGCCCGGGCTGGAAGGAGGTCGGATGAAGCCGCGGATGCTCGACCCAAAGCCTAGCGGAGGGGTGCTGGCGTCGGTGCGAGGAGTCAGCGCGCGGCCCAAAGTGCGCACCTGTTTTGACGTTGGGCACCTTGGCTGCCGCCGCTTTGAGCTCATCGGTGACGCTCCCGGTCCAAAACTGCTGGATGTCCGTCTCTGCGCTACCAGAATAGTAGTCTGTGAGATCACACCTATTTACCGGCAGCGTGCTCTGGTGAGATTGCTGCTGTTGAGGATGTTTACTCCTGAGCGGCCATGGGGGCGGGGCAGTCTCACCAAGGCTTGCTCTCCTTCATCAGCTTGATGAAGCCCTCCGTGGTGTCAAACCAGAGGAATTGAACGACCGTGTCGGGCTTGTCCCTGTCGATGAAGGAGAAGCAGGCACGCACGCCGTAGTCTCCTCCCTGCGCCTCGGCAGCGAATTTGGCAAACGTCTCCGTGTACTTGGATGCATCTGCCGACTTTACCGTGCGAGAGCAAAAGATAATGACTGGTTTGGCGGCGTAAGCCTCATCGTGGCCCTCGGCTCGCGCGTCGCCGTGCACGTAGGCGAGCAGGCTCCGGCGGTAGAGGAGGTAGGCTGCGCAGGCACCGCCGACCACGACCGCGACCGCCTTCATTTGTGTGTGGGACAGCGCGTGAAGCGGGTGGACGGGCGTTTCCGCGGCGGGTACGGCCGACGCCCCTGGCGTGAGCCAAAGAAAGAGATACTGGGTACTTCCCGGGCTTCTTATTTTATCGCCGTGGAGCTGCAAAAAGAAAGAAAGAAAACCTGCAAACCAAACGAGGGATGGGAGGAGGACGAGGTCCCCACCTGCACGACGAGCAGGATCTTGGAAGGACGATCAGGGACACAGGGGAACGGGAGTGGGGAGCGCATCGCGAAACGGAGGGGGGCTGGACGGGTTCACCCGCCACACGAATGGATTTTGCAATTCCTGCTCCAAGGAACCGCCATTCTCTTTGCGCGCGACACACCGAAGCTGGCTCTCGGTGCCGCGCTGCTATTCGCGGCTCCTCGCCGGTCTGTGGTGACGCTGCAGCAGCGTCGAGACCCTCGCGCCGACGGCCAGCTCGGCTTGGCGGCGGCGCCTGAGGGAGGGTGTAGAGGATGTAGAGTGTAGAGCGCTGTAGAGCTGTAGAGATGTAGAGCGCTCTGGAGCGCTGTAGAGCTGTAGAGCTCTACATCGGCTGCGTGACGAGGCGGGTGCGTTGTAGAGCGATGTAGAGCGCGATTTTGCTGTAGAGTTTGTTGTAGAGGCTCTACAGCCAAACCGCCGGGAAGGCAGTGACTCAAAGAGGTCGAGTCGCACTAATGGGGTGTCTCCGAGCTTACTGGAGCTCTGATGGACGGCCCTGACTATCACTGACACACAGAGACGGTCACTCTGACGGCACACAACACCCTATAACTGCGTCATGACCAGCCTGCCATGCGTCGCCGGTGCCGCATTCGTCGCTGTGCTTCTTTAGCAGGCGGTGGACTATCGGCTGCGAGGACGGTCGCATTTGCGCGAGGCGAGGCGAGCATTCAGACGCGTTGCATGCGCCATGACTCGCGCCAGCGCGTGCGGGAGCTCCTGGCTGAGCGTTGAGTCCAGGCGAGTTGCGCTGGCCACGATCGCTACGCCAAGCCGAGCTGACGCGCCGAGGCGCCGGCCAGTCGCAGCCGTGAGGCATGCCACAGCAGCAGAGGCACCTCCCACCCATTGGGCGGGCAGACAGAAGGCCAGGGCAGCACTGGTAAGTGCAACGCGCCTCATGTCGGAGAGCGACCGTGCCTCGTTCGCCGCTTATGATGTAGAGTTTGTTGTAGAGATTTCACGTTGTAGAGCGCCTCTACATCGCTCTACAACGCACCCGCCTCGTCACGCGGTGGATGTAGAGCTCTACAGCTCTACAGCACTCTCCAGCTCTACAGCTCTACAGCGCTCTACACTCTACATCCTCTACACCCTCCCTCAGGGCGGCGCTTCAGAACATCGTCGAGCGCGGTGAGGCGGCGACACTCGACGAAGCGCAGACGGTGCTCTCGCAAAGAGGGCACGCAGCGTCGCTGCAGAAGCTCGTGGATAGCGGGGAGGCGGCGACACTGGACGAGGCATCGAAGCTCGCCGGCCAGCGCGCACGCGCAGCTTCGCTGCAGAAGCTCGTGGACAGCGGTGAAGCGGCGACGCTGGAGGAGGCATCGAAGCTAGCTGGCCAGCGTGCACTCGCAGCTTCGCTGCAGAAGCTCGTCGACAGCGGCGAGGCGGCGACATTGGAGGAGGCGCAGCAGGTTCTCTCGCGGAGCGGTCATCAGGCTGCGCTCCAGGGCATGGTGGAGCGCGGCGATGCGGCGACGCTGGAGGAGGCACAAGTGTTGCACTCTCAGAGAGGCCGTGCGGCAGCACTGCAAAAGCTCGTCGACAGCGGTGACGCGGCGACGCTGGAGGAGGCATCGAAGCTAGCTGGCCAGCGTGCACTCGCAGCTTCGCTGCAGAAGCTCGTCGACAGCGGCGAGGCGGCGACATTGGAGGAGGCGCAGCAGGTTCTCTCGCGGAGCGGTCATCAGGCTGCGCTCCAGGGCATGGTGGAGCGCGGCGATGCGGCGACGTTGGAGGAGGCACAAGTGTTGCACTCTCAGAGAGGCCGTGCGGCAGCACTGCAAAAGCTCGTCGACAGCGGTGACGCGGCGACGCTGGAGGAGGCATCGAAGCTAGCTGGCCAGCGCGGACGCGCAGCAGCGCTGCAGAAGCTCGTCGACAGCGGCGAGGCGGCAACACTGGAGGAGGCGCAGGTGGGTTACGGCATGAACGCTGGAGTGGCCGCAGCACTCTCTGCAGGCAAGTACACCCGGTTTCCGGGCGTGCGTTGGCGCAAGGACTCGCGCAAGTGGAGAGTTCAGTTCAGCGTCGGCAGCAAAAAGATCTCGCTCGGCTCGCATGCGACCGAGGAGGAGGCTGCATTGGTGCATGACGAATATGTGCGCCGCCACGGGCTGGCCCGCCCGCTGCACTTTCCGAGGGAGGGCGAGGCGTCGAGCGGCACGTTTCGTGAGCGGCACGCCCCTCGGGAGGCCCGAGCGGGCAGCCGAGGGCCGCGCATGGCGGTGGTCGGCGACGAGTCCGAGCTGGGCGCGGCTCTGTGGACAGTTGCGCTCGTGCTCGGCGCCTACCTCAGCAGCTACGCGAGTGAGGGCTACGAGCCGCACAAGCTTTGATGGGACGCCACACTCACAGCCGCGGCGGCCAAGCTGCAGGGTGTGCTACCGACGGAAGAGGAACCGACGGAAGATGTGCCCGGTCATGACGCTGGGCTCGGAGAGTGAGAGGGCTTCTCTCGCACGAGCGCCGGCTGAGGAGGGTACTCGTCGCAACCCCGACACTTGTTGTTTTTGGTGCATGGGTGGGTTGGGAGATGTAGGTCGTAGCCAGGGACAGTGCATGCTCATAGGGAAGGTATGCGTGTGTGTGCGTGTGCGTGTGCGTGTGCGTGTGTGCGTGTGCGTGTGCGTGTGCGCGCCTTGAAGAAGTGTGCCCAAAGCCTTCACACTCCAAAAAAGAAATCGCGGACTGCCGCCTGAGTTCGGCGACTCCGAATCGATATGCGAGCCCTCCCCTGGCGTCGCTCGTCATTCGAATCGACGCCCGCCTCGAGTCGCTCGTCAGTCACATCTCCTGTCTCAAGGCTGTGGGTGCACGAAAGCGGGCGGGAGGCGTGGGTTCTCGCCGACCATTTGGAAACGAGAGACGAGACGGCCACCGTCCGTCTCGCATGCGGGCAGACGATGAGCGTCGGGCTGGCCAAGACAGCGCGGCACAACCCGTCCCACGACGACGACTGGGATGACCCAACTTTCATGAGCGATCTCCACGAGGCGCCGCTCCTGGAGCTGCTGCGCCGCCGCTTCGGCAGGGGCGCCATCTACACGTGGGCTGGCGAGGTGCTCCTGTCCGTCAACCCATTCGAGAACATCCCTCGCCTGCACGCCCTCCCCGGATGGACCTCCGCCGTGGCCGCTGCCGCAAACTCATCCTCTCCTGCCCCGCACATCTTTGCTGTGGCAGAGCGAGCCTGGCAAAGCGCCACCTCTGCCGGCGCGGACGTGGCAATCATCGTGAACGGTGAGTCCGGAGCCGGCAAGACGGAGGCGTGCCGTCAGGTGCTGCGGTACGTGAGCCGCTGCAGTGCAGAGTGCAGAGTGGCGGCAAACGCCGCTGCAAGCACCGCGCCGGGTGCGGGCACTGGCGCCAAGCGCGAGGAGGAGGTGGCGAGGCTTGAGGCGGCCGTGCTCGACACGGCTTGCGTGCTCGAGGCGTTTGGCAACGCGCGCACTGTGCGCAACGACAACTCGAGCCGCTTCGGCAAGCTCACTTGCCTCCGTGTGGCGCGCAGCGGCGCGAGCGGCGTCGTCGCCGGCTGCCGCATCAAGACGCTGCTGCTCGAGCGCTCGCGCGTCGCGACGCACGCCCATGGCGAACGCTCCTTCCACATCTTCTACTGGCTCCTCGAGGCGAAGGGGCTGGACCCCGCCTCATTCACGATGCTGAATGCCGCAACAGAGGCCGCAGCAGAGGCCTCCGCAGAGGAGGGCGGCGCCTCGGCCGCCTCGGCCGCCAACGCTGACGCCTCGAAGTTGGCCGCGGTGGAGGCGGCGCTGTCGGCGCTCGGCTTCTCCGCCGATGACATCGCCGGCGTGTGGAGCACGCTCCTCGGCCTGCTCGAGCTCGGCAACGTGCGCTTCGCCGCTGCCGACCAGGGCGGTGACCAGGGCGGTTCGGTGGTCGACGAGTCGGCGCCGCTCGAGCGGGCGGCGGCGGCGCTCGGCATCGAGGCGGGCCTGCTGGAGACAGCCCTCACCCAGCGCACGCACAGGGCGGCGGCCGGGCGCGGCTCGATTCACTCGATCCCGCTCGCTGCGTGGGAAGCGGCCGAGGCGCGCGACGCGCTGACGCGCCACCTCTACCAGCACGTGTTCGACTTCCTCGTCGCGCGGCTCAACGCGCACCTCGACCCGCCCGCCAAAGGCGGTGAGGAGGCGCGCTCCCTCATGCTGCTCGACATCTACGGCTTCGAGGACGTCGGCTCCAACTCGCTCGAGCAGCTGCTCATCAACTATGTAACGACGAGCCTAGATGCGGAACGTGTAGCAGACAACTGTCTTGTATTCCGCTGCATGCACGACAACTGTCTTGTACTCAGCTGCATGCATGACGTAGGCCAACGAGCTGCTGCAGCGCCTCTTCAACACGCACGTCTTCGAGCGCGAGGCAGCCCTCTACAAGGCGGAGGGCATCGACGCCGCCGCCGTCTCCTACACGTCCAACGACGCCGTCCTCGCCCTGCTGTCTGCGGCGCCGTGCGGCCTGCTCCCCCTCCTCGAGGAGCAGGGCCTGCTCGGCGAGCGCGGCTCATCCGACAACTTTGCGCTCGAGGTCTTCCGCCACCACGGGCAGTCGCGCCACGTCGGCAAGCCAAAGCGGCTCTCGGCCAAGGAGGACGGCGAGCGGGTCTTTGTTGTGCGGCACTTTGCAGGCGGCATCTCTTACGACTCGCGCCGCTTCGTCGAGAAGAATGTCGAGGCGCTGCACGGCGACCTCCACAGCCTGCTGCCGCGGCTCGCCGGCTACGCGCGGGTTGTGCTCGACACGACGATGCCCGCCCCGGCGACGCCGCGCTGGTTCCGTGCGCGCTCCAACTCCAACGCGGCGTCCGCGACCACCGCCAAGATCCGCGGCAGCTTTGGCATCTCCTCCACCTTCCGTAGCCAGGCCAACGCGCTGCTCGAGACGCTCCAGAGCGGCACGCCGCACTTTGTGCGCTGTCTCAAGCCGAACAGCGCCCAGGCCGCCGCCGACTTCGACTCCGCCCTCGTGCTCGCGCAGCTGCGCTCGCTCGGCGTGCTGGAGACGGTCCGCATCCGGCGCGAGGGCTTCCCCGTCCGCACCGACTTCGCCGAGGTCTGGGCTGACTGTGCGCTGCTCGCGCCGCACGCCGCGCCTCTCCCGCCACGGGAGCGGGCGGAGGCGGTCCTCGAGCGGCTCCCGGCGGCGATGTGGCGCCTCGGGCACACAAAGGCCTTCCTGCGTGACGGCGCGCTCGAGCTGCTGCGCGCCGAGGCTGCGAGTCTGCGCACTGGCCGCGCCACCGCCATCCAGGCCATGATTCGCCGCAAACGCGCAGGCTCGCAGCGCGCGGCCCGGGCGGAGGCGCGGCGCGAGGAGCTGCGAGCCGTTGCCGCGGTGTCCGTCCAGCGGTACGCGCGGCGCAGGGCCGCGCTGGGCCAGAGACAGGCGCTGCTCGACCAGCGCGCGGCAGCCTCCCGGGCGGTGCAGGCGGCGGCCCGGAGGCGCATGGCCGCGGGAGAAGCCGACCGACGCCGGGAGGCGCGCGATCGGCAGCTGGCGGCGCTCTTCGTGCAGAGGCTAGCCCGCGGGCGCATGGCCGGGAGGGAAACCAAGCAGCGGCGCGAGGCGCGCGACCGGCAGCTGGCGGCGCTCTACATCCAGAGGCTAGCCCGAGGCCGCTCAGCCCGCAAGCTGTGGCGCTCCGCGATGCTGCTGGCCCAGCGCGGGCAGGCGAGCCAGCGCCAGTTTCGCTTCCGGGCGGTGATGGCGAGCCGGCGCCAGTTTCGTCACGTGCTCAAGCCGCACGAGCTGGTGATGATGGCGGCGGTCGTGCGGCGCGACGAGTACACCGGCAAGGTCTCGCTTGGCCGCTGCCTCAAGGTGTCGCACCGGCAGGCGCTCGTCTTCACCTCTGCGGGACGCCTCCTCTGCACCGGCGTCGACGCGCGCTCCGTCGAGTGGGAGCAAGAGTGGTCGCCACGGCTGTCGGTGGTGATGACGGGCGGCCGGGACTTTGGCGTCACCGAGCTGCGTGCGGGGCACCGGGTCTCCATCGACGGCGTCGTCTCGCGGCCCGAGCTCAACGGCAGGAAGGGCGTCGCGAAGCGCTTCAGCGAGGCGACACACCCTCGCCACACCCTCGCCACACCCTCGCCACACCCTCGCCACAGCCTCGCCACCCCCCCTGCCCAGGCGACGGGGCGCTTCACCGTCTCCCTCGCCGACCCATCTGACCGGGGCGAGGAGGTCGAGCTTCCGCCGGCCAACCTGGCCGTCCGCGCCGCCGACGCGCCCAAGGACTGCACGAAGTTCGTCGAGCTGCTCGGCGCGGCGGAGCGGTGGAGGTCGATCATGAGCCACGACAGCGAGGAGGCGACGCAGACGCTCATCGACAAGGCGCAGTCCTCACCCAGAGATGCCAACTCTCCTCTGCCTCGCGCTGCACCGCCACCTCCCCTCACGACTGCAACGCTCACGGCCGCCCACACCGCCTCCCTCCCCTCTCCGCAAAGGCCTCGGCGTCGGAGGCGTGCGAGCCGTCGCATATGCTGCGCATGCAGGGCGAGCTGACCAAGCGCTCGCTCTCGGGCAAGCCCGGCAAGGCGCGCCGCCGGTGGCGCAAGTCGGACATCTCGGATCATCTCGGGCCATCTCGGGGAATCTGGTTTTGCAGGCGAGCGACCGGTGGCAGAGGCGGTGGATCGTGCTGCAGGGGCGCACCATCTACTGGTTCAAGGGGAGCGAGGTTCCAAAGGGGCAGCTCGAGCTCGTCGAGGGCTCGCGCGTGTGCGAGTACGAGCAGGAGGACGCGGCGGACGCGGCGCTGCACCCCTTCACCTTGCTCGTCTCGACCGCCGCGCTGAGGCGTGCCGGCGTGCCGGGGCTGCTGCTGCAGGCGCCCGCCGCCGAGGTGCGCGCCGAGTGGATCCGGGCCGTCAGCGAGGCGCTGCCAGAGGAGCCGGTCGGGCCGCTCGCCGACTCGGACCCGCTGACCGCGTCTGTCGCGGGGAAGCTGCCCGCGGTCTTCCACCAGGCGACGGTGACGGGGCGGCTGCACAAGCGCGCGCTGCGCCACTCGAGCGAGCGCTGGACGGCGCGCTGGTGCGCGCTGCACGGCAAGACCATCTACTGGTTCAGCGGCTACTACAAGCTCAAGGGGTCGATGGAGCTGACGCGCGGCACGCGGCTGCGCGACCTGGCGGGCTCGCGACCTGGCGCGCACGCGTTCGCCGTCTCGACGCCTGAGATGGAGCGCGCCGGGCTCTTCCTCGGGCTACAGGCGTCCTCGGACGCTCAGAAGCGGGAGTGGATGAACGCCCTCGGCGCGGCGGTGGAGTCTCTCTCCGCAGTGGCTCAGCTGTGAGCATGTGTACGGCTCGGTAGCCACGTGTATGCTGTATCGGTTTTACACACTGGCTGTGCAAACTCTTCAGACTCGACAGCTCGAGCCTAACCCACATGTTTACTGCCACCGATCTCAAAATACATGTCGGTGGCGCACACCGCGCCGCCTGTCAGCAAGTGGCAGTTCCACACTGGGCACCGACACAACAGCGAACAGACGACTGACATGGCGACTGACATGGCTGAGACGACGGAGTTTTCGTGCGCACAGCTTCGAAGAGGTACTTTGTCTTTCTGCCAGAGCCTCACCGGTCCGGTCTGCGTATCGACCCATCCGCCATCAACTGCCGACCACTCGCTTCGTGCACGCTCACGACGCCAGGAGGCGGCTGCGCCGGGTTGAGGAGCGCGTACAACTCGGGGTTGGATGCGGCGAGCCGCTCGTTGTTAGGACGCTCCACGTAGTAGACATACCTGTGCAGCGTCGGCGAGTCACGCGACGGAACGGTACACATGCGGTCATAGTGGACGCACGTACCACATATAGCAGCTCAGGAAGGCGAAGGTGAGCGCTGGAGCAAGCCGGTACTGCCGCGTCCCAAAAATTCGCGCGCGAGCCGCAGCCAGCTTCTCGTCCTCGTTCATGGGTGGACGGCCCAAATCGCTGGGGAGTCGAGCGAGACGCTGCAAGCTCGTACTCGTCAGGCCCCCGCGCGGAGAAGCCAGCTTATTTTCTTTTTTCTCCGTTGCAGGGTTCCGGCTAGTGATTTTTAGGTGTATTGTTGGCAAAACAAGACACAGAGCTCACACAGAATCACAGCGGGAGGAAAGCGGCGAGTCGCAATTCCTGGGGTCCTTGTGGCGGGCTGCCACCCTGTCCAGAGAGGCATGAGTGCCAATCTGGGGTCTCTCGACCGAGTCTATGAGTCCTGGCCGCTCCCGGTTGTGGCAGAGGTTATGCCGAAGGGGACGGGTTGGGTTAGAAGACGGGGCGGCGCGAGCGAGGTCGCGGTTGGGTCGTTCGTCGGCCATCGGCATCGCCATCGCCTGCACTTGAACCAGGCGAAAAAGAGAATTCCTTTTTGCGGCCTCGTAGTGACGAGGGAGAGAGTGATTCAAGATTAGGTGATGGGCGGGTGCGTTCGTGCTCGAGATGTGTGGTTTGTGAGAGACAGGGAGAGATGTTACCAGGCGAGGCCGGCGCACGCGATGAAGGCACTACCAGGGTCCTGTCAAACTAGTTTGTGCTCCGCTCAAGACACACATTGAAAGACACGCACTCGCAAACGAAGGTGTTCGAGATCACGCGAAGGTCGTGACACGCTTGCCGATGAAATCGCGCGCTACACCTTGCCGCTGCGCCCAAGCGGTCAAGCTCCAGTCGGAGCTCTTCTAATCTGCATCGCCACCAAAACACCACCACGGCACCTCGCTTGCCCCCTTGTCGTTCCGTCCGGCCCCTCGCAGCACGGCTCCGCTCGCGCCTCGCTCCCTCGGCTTCGCCCTGTGCACGTGCTCTGTGCTGCGCCTGACGCCTGACTGACGCCTCGCCGGCTCATCGCCTCAGGTTCGAGTCTTGTGCTTGCGGGGAATGCTCGTGTGGCTGCTCGCAGCTTCTTTTACCAATGGCGACAAGGAGGTGCCGCTTGTGCTGTCGAACGGCGCGGTCTACAACGTGACCGATGGCGAGTGCGCTGCTAACTCCGACATGTGCTTCACACCGGCGCTGACCGCCTCCAAAAACGAGGCCGCCGTGCGCGAGATCCTGTACGTGGCAGCTAGCTCTTCGAATCCTCTCACCGAGGCCAGCTTGGAGGCGTCCTTTCAGGCCATCGTCAACGACGCGAGCGACTCCTTTGATCTACGAACAGATGAAACGATGACGCTCGAGCTTACAAACGACGTGAATGTGCGTGCGCTCTCGGTCGGCCTGTATATTGGTAACATCGAGGACGTCTCGCCACATGCCTCGTCATGGCAGTTCGAGGGACGGCTGTATGTCAGGGAGATCATGCCCCGCCCGTACACGTCGCGGGAGCAAGCCATCCGAGCCATCTACCGAAACCCGGAGGCTGTGATGGATCGGCCGGACGGCACCAGTTTCGCGGACGCGGAAAATTGGGATGACAAACGTCACGCATTCGAGTGCATCCGGACCCGCTTCGCCCGCCGCCCAGCCGCTCATCACCTCCCTCCTGCGCCTCTCTCCTCTTTCACTCCCAACCCCTCCCTCTCCCAGGTGCAACAGGAATGCGCTGGACTCTGCCCGCGACCTCACTTCCGCCGATTTTGACAACGTCTTCCGCCTCGAATATGAGAATGTGCGTGGGCCTGGGCAGCAGGCGCCGCAGTACGATCCTGAAGGCCAACTCAAGGTCCGCTTTCTCGCCCTCTCTCCCGCCCTTGGCTGCCGCCTCCCCTCGGGGGCGATCCCTTCCCTCTCCGTTCGCAGTACATCAGGCTGAAGGGCGATTCGTACTCGTACCGGCCGCAGCACTCTCGGTTCCCCTTCTCGACTGAGCGCCTCAAGTTCACGCCCGCCTCCCATAGATGCTGAGTGCAGACTACTCGAGAAGACACGTGTATCGGCAGTATCCAACAGCCAGGACGCTCCACGAGACCACCTCCCTCTACTCTTAGGCTCACCTCCGACTTGGAGTTCAACAACTCGAAGCTCGCCTTCAACATGCTGTGCGTCGACCCATCCTTCACGGGCTTCGCCCAACCAGACATGATCTCGTGGCCGAGTCGCGAGGTGCGCCGGGCCTTGCTCTCTGAACTAGTCTCTGAATGTGTGGGGCTCCTGCCTACCTGGAAGCTGGGTGCGGAGAGCGAGGGTTTTGTGCCTCCTGTCCTACCATTTCGTTGACTACCCTGCCTTGCCCGTCCTAGGTCGCACGCGCCTCGAGCACCACTCTCGACCTTTTCTACACGGGTGGCTTCCTGCGCAGGCCACCGTTCCTGCGAACCCTAGACGGTCTCGGCGGCGACTCACGCATCCGCTATGGCGAACTACACCCCGTGACCCGCACGTCCACCGGCATGCTGGTGACGCCGTTGGTCGAGTTCACGATCGTGTTGACGCCAACGCGACTCGTCGGGTTCTTCATGCTGATGCCGCTGTTTGCGGCCACTCTCGCCACTCAGGTGAGCAACTAATGAACTCTCCCCGACCCCTTCCCCACATCACCCTCACCCTCTTCATCCCCCCCCCCCCCCCCGCCCCCGCAGCTGCAGTGGAAGAAACCGGTCTACGCCATAGACGAGTCGGCGACGGTCTCCTCCATCCTCCTCATCTCTGGTGCGATCGCAGCGCACCTCTCGGTCAACCCCGATTTGGTCTCGGGTGCGTGTCCTGTAAGCCCCCTGGCCCAATCCCCCTCTGGGCAAAGTTGAAACTGCCGTGATAACCCCGCAATTGCACCGCCCGCCCCAGTTGGCTTCTATGAAAAGAGCATCGCCGACGAGTGCGCGTATGCGATGCAACATTCTGTTGATCTTGTTCGATGCGCCTCCTAGAACCCCAGTTGAGGACCTTTGCTTCTGTCCAGGTACATTATCACCGGGTGGTACATCGTTTGCATCGCGGTGATCTCGGGGCGGAACGCATATTCTGCACACGCAGGGGAGGAGGCAAGGGTAGAGGCGTTCAAGCGCGGCACGGCGCGCCTGTACTCGCTGATGCGCCAGCTGGGCCTGCTTGCGACCGTCCTCTTTGTCCCTGCCGTCTATCACTCGGTGGACGACTACGGAAGGACTGACACCGAGGACGAAGTGTGGATCACCACTGTCGGCGTGCTCGGTGGGGCGGTCACCCTACTCACCGGAGTTGCCCTCTTTCGCTACCGCACCGCCGAGCGTCACCTCGAGGCAACAGAGGCGGCAAAGACGGCTGAGGAGCGTGAGGTCATTCTTCCGTCGCTCGACGAGAAGTCGCCGGCTGAGTGGAGCGTGCTCGAGGTGGCGGTCTGGCTCGAGCACTCCCCGGCTCTCGTGCACCTGGGTCCTGCCAAGCGCGCGACCGTGCGCGCCACCTTCACCAAGGAGGAGATTGAGGGCGCCTCGCTGATCATGTGCACAGAGATGGAACTCCTACTCAAGCTGGGCGTGGCCGCAGGTGACCGTGGGGCCTCGCACTAGCTGGGCTGTGGGGCTGCTGCCTTAGGATACGCCAACCGGTACCCCACACTGGTGCTTGAGAAGTTTACCTCACCTTACTTGCCTCGGCCGCGCAGGCTCCGCGGTGCAGGTGGCCCTCGCGGTCGAGCAGCTTCTCGCGAAGCCACTCGAGTGCGCGACGAGCGCGTTCGAGGCCGCGCCGGAGCTAGCGTCTGATGACGCGCTCAATTAGATCGTTCGCCGTGCATGTCGACGACGACGAACGGACGTCGCGTGGAGGGTGGCGCGCGTAATGAGGCTCCCGGTGACCGAACAGGGCTGCGAGCGGGGTCGCCTTCGCCCGCTGTCCACACTCTATCTCTATTAGGTAGGTTTGTGCAGTACGCGCACTCGGATGTGTGGCAGCCCGCTGGCTGAGTGTCTTGTCTAAGTCACATGAACAGTGATCAGTGTACGACATCGCCACATCGCGCTCCAGGTGGAAAAAGAAAGCAGGCGGCCCAGGCCGAGGAGAGCGACGAGGCTCGAGGGAGAGGATGACGCGGCAGGAAAAGGAACGACGATGGGGGGCGACCGCGAGGGCGCACGCATGAAGGTCGCGGCGAGAGTTGGAGAGAGAGTTGAGAGTTGGCGAGCGAGGGACTGACTGCGACGAGACTCGAGAGACACCTATGTACATCGAGGGAGAGGCAGAGGCGGCCGCGGACGGGCAAACATGGGGGCAGCTCTCTTTCTTTTGAGAGTGTGCCGGAGTGTGTGCTAGTCCGCGCCAGTCCGGCCTTGCTCTTGACAAAAAAGAAATCTACCGGCCTCAGTCCCAAATATATGCCCGCGTCTCGCTCCCGCGCCAACGCCGCGCTCCGCACGCCGCCGCCGCCGTCTGTTGACAGCGCGCCGGGTGGCGAAGTCCCAAAGAACGTCCTCAAGGCGGCCGAGAACGGCCGCTTGGGACCAGTGCGATCGTGGCTGAATGACGGCGGGAAGGCCGACACTCTCGCTGAGCGACCCTCTGAGGTCGGCGGCAGTACGGTTCCATGCACCCTGCTGATGATTGCCGCACGCAAAGAGCACGTGCAGATTGTCGAGCTCCTCCTGAAGCGTGGCGCAGACATCAACCTGCATACCAGTCGCGGCTCCACTGCGCTCAGCGCTGCAGCCTGCTGCGGATGCGAGCGAATGGTGGAGATGCTGCTGCAGCACGGAGCGGAGTTGAATCCACAGGACTCCGCCGCCTGGTCGGCGCTGGCAGCGGCTGCCCAGGGCGGCAAAGAGCGGGTGGTCGATTTGCTCCTGCGGCGTGGCGCGGAGATCGACCTGCAGAACAAGAGAAACGGTGACACCGCGCTGGTGCACGCCGCCTTCTTCAACCGCCCCGCCGTCGTGCTCCGCCTTCTTCGGGCGGGAGCAGACATGACGTTGCGCGACGCGGCGGGCAGGACGGCGCTGCAGTGGGCCAAGCAGAAGGGCCACGCCGAGTGCGTCCAGGCCTTCAAGACATACCTCGGGGAGGTGGCTGGGCGCCGGAGCAAGGCGCCGTCGGCCGAGGCAGGCGGCGCAGGCGCGGCGGTGGGTGCGAGTGCCGCGGCCTCTGCTCCGAGCGGCGAGGGTGGCTTGGAGGCCAAGCCGAGCAGCGGTGCGGTGCCAGAACAGGTTGCGCACGCGGCTGAGCGAGGCGATGAGGAGGCGGTGCTGGCGTGGCTCGACGGCGGCGGGCGGGTGAATGCGACGAGCGAGTACGTCTTTGCGGACGGGGTTCGTGTGAGCGGCGTGACGCTGCTGATGCTCGCAATGGCCCAGGGCCACGAGGGGCTGGCCGAGGCGCTGCTCCAGCGCGGTGCGGATGTCTTGTTGCAGAACAGCAATGGTGGCACCGCGCTGATGGCCGCCGCTAGCGGTGGCCACGAGAAAGTGGTCGACGCGCTGATCCGGCACGGCGCGGCGATCGAACTTCAGTCCAACGCCGGCTACACCGCGCTGATTCGTGCCGCTTTCTACGGCCACCCCGCCGTCCTTCTCTGCCTGCTGCGGGCGGGCGCAGACGTGACGCTGTGCACTACGGACGGCAAGACCGCGCTGCAGCTTGCCAAGGAGCAGGGCCACACCGAGTGCGTGCGCGCCCTCGCGGAGCATGCGGCGACCGAGAAGGCGGCGGAGAAGGCGGCGGAGGAGGCGGCGTGGGCCGCGGGAGCGGCGGAGAGGGCGGCGCAGAGGGCGGCGGAGGAGAAGGAGGCGGCGCGGCACGCCGAGGAGCTGCTGGCGGAGGTCGAGGCGGAGAAGCGCGCCAAGGGCAAGAAGGGCAAGAAGAAGAAGAAGGGCGGCGGGGCGGGCGGAGCTGGGCCGTCGCAGGAGCCCGAGGAGCTTGCCGAGGCGCCGTCGGAGGCAGACGCAGCCGAGGCGGCGAAGAAGGCCGAGGAGGAGAGGCTTCTCCGGCTTCTCGAGACGCTCACCGAGGAGAGGATGCGGCTTGGCATCACGCCGGAGAGCCAGGCAGCGGCGTCGGCAGAGGTGGCCGAGGCGGCTCGCTTGGCCGAGGAGGCGGAGGCGGCGGAGGAGGCGGCGGAGGCGGAGGACGAGGCTGCCGCAGAGGAGGAAGCGGTGACTGAGGCGGCGGCGGCGGCGGCAGCGGCGGCGGTGGCGGCGGCGGCGGCCGAAGCGGCGGCGGCCGAGGCGAAACTGGCCGCTGCCAAGGAGAGGCGCGCGGCCACTGCCGCTGCGAGGGCCAAGGCGGCGGCCGCCAGGATGGCGGTGGAGGCGGCTCAGCGCGCATAGCGAGTGCGAACGCAACGCCAATGGGCATGCAGCAGTGAGCACAGAGTACCACGGGGGAGTGGAGGGGGGGGGGGGGGGGACGCACTTCTTCGCGTGTGGCTTATCTTTCTTTCTTTGGGGTTTGGGCCCGCGCATGGACAGCGATCACAGACAGTGGCCCACACTGCACGCTAAGCGACTTTTTTTGGAAAGACGCAACACCAAGCGGTTAACGCTCAGGCTAGTCGTTAATACGGTATGCAGCCCCTTGTGGCGAGTGTGAAAAGGCGTCGTAGCGGCCTCCGGTCTACTATGAAGACCATCGTGGAACCAAGCGACGGACGCACGGAGATGGTGCGGGGGTACGGGTGTTCCAGGAGGTCACGACACGCACCGACCCTTCACGCGCGGGGAAGGCACAGTAATCCGGCACGTGTTGGGCGCCCCATTCCGTTTAGGGCTAGGTCGGCTCAGGGCCCCGTCCACTTCCCTCCCACTTGGCGCGTGATAATGAGGAGATGCCAGTCGACGGAGGGTAGCGAACGGAGTGGAATGCACAGATGGGGGATGGCAAAGGCGGAGGGCGGGAAGGGGGGAGGGCGGCGGGAGAACGGCGGGAGGGAGCGAACGGAGTGGAATGCACAGATGGGGGATGGCAAAGGCGGGGGGCGGGAAGGGGGGAGGGCGGCGGGAGGGCGAGGGGCGGCATGGGCGGGCGGTGGGTGGTTCGGTAGGGCGGGGGGGAGGGCGAGGGGTGGAGGAGGAGGGCGGTGGGGGCGAGGGGCGGCGAAGGAGAGGGTTGCGGCGGGAAAGGCAGCGTGGAGGTTGGCGGAGGTGTGGGGGAGGTGGGGGGCGGCGGCGGCGTGAGTGACGGCGGCGGCAGTGTGGAGGAGGTGGGGGGGAGGGCAGTAGCGAGCGGGTGGCGAGGGCAACAGTGATGGGTAAAAAAAAGAAGCAGGGTTCCGGCTCCTAGCCGGATAGGGGGTCTGTCTGCACTGACTCGCGCCAAAACGCCCTACCTACCTACCTATCCCCAGGCCGCGCAGCGAAGCCAAAATTTGATGAAAATAGGGCTACCTACCTATTGCAGGGCCCTTTTGGGCGAAACAAGACCAACCTACCTACCTATCTGGGAGGGGCCAGCCAGTGTGGACAGACCCCCTATCCGGCTAGGAGCCCGGGCCCAGAGACGAGCGAGTAGCACAAAAAACCGATAATGTTGGCGTGCTAGGCAGAAAGAAATCAAAGAGGTACGAGGCTGCTGACCGCACTCCAAGTGCTCCAAGTACAAGACGGCGCAGTGGAGCGAAAGAAACAAGGGAAGCCAGGATGGAAAGACGGCGCCTGAAAAAACTGGTGGCGCCGCCCCTCGGCCAGCGAGTCGTGCTACATGTACATGTGCATGTGCATGCGCATCTAGGCGGGCTCTCGGCACGCCCTGGCACGTCATGCTCCCTCTCCTGGTACATCTTGAGCTCCTCCCGGAGGCGCTCAACCTCCGCCTCCGCCCTTGCGAGGCTGGAGCGTGGTCCGCCCGCCTCTCGGGCCCGTGGGACGCGCCGTAGAAGTCGACGTAGCGTGTCCGTGGCGTGGGCATGCCATCCCTTGGAGAGATCCCCCCTTCCGTGTCTGCCTCACCCTCCGCAGTCCGCAGCGGAGGGCTCGCCAAGCCGCGGCACGACTTGTGCTTGTGCATCCCGGCCAACGCCGGGGGGAATCCGCGCGTTGATAGCGCGGCCGCCAATTGCAACGTTTGCCCGCGCGCGTGAACAGGGCTCCAGGCCCCAAATGACGTGTGAGTGTTAGAGTTGTTTGGTATTGAAAATCGAAAAAATGTATCCCGCGCGTAACGAACTCCATTGAGCATGTCTAAGGCGAAGAAGCAGCCAAAGGCGGTGCCCGCGGTGGACGCGACCCCCACGACTGCCGAGCTGGTGCCGCAGCTCCCAGAGGCGGAGGCACAGCGGATTCGCGAGGCGTGGTTTGCGTGCGACTCGGATGGCGACTCACTCCTCGACAGCCACGACTTCAACAAGCTGCTGCTGCGGATCAACCGGGACGATCTCAAGGCCGACGAGGTGGTGGAGGCCATCCGGCGGATGCAGAGCAAGCGAAAGGACCAGAGGACCGAGCCGACCGACCTGCTGCACCTACGCGAGACGCTGCGATTTTTTGCGACGAATCCCCTCGTCGAGAAGCCAGAGGCGCACTCGCTGCTGCCTCTCCTCCTGCCACCTCTCCTCACCTCTCACCCGATGCCAATCGCAGGCGGAGCGGCTGTCCGAGGACCTCTTCCGTGGCCTCCTTGCGCAGCAGGAAGGCGCGGCCGACGATAAGGCCCCGAGCACCCTCAGCATGGCCGCCATCTCGAAGCTGCTTGCTGACTATGAGCTGGACCCGAACGTGCTTTTTGACGGCAGCACTCCGGCTCTAGCTCTCCCAGAAATCCAGCAGCTCCTCGCGGCCAGCACAAGACCGTGAGGAGGCCCCGGTAGCGTCGCTGCCAGGCGTGTTGCGCCCCAGCCTCGCCAACTCGAGAGCACTCTCATGACGCTCCGAGTCCTCACTGCGCTAGGCCGGGCCGCGTGAGCGGGGCCAGTGGCACGCGATCGCAACGCCGAGACGCGTGACCAGGCACTGATCGTGAGGAGAGTCGAGGCGGGGTTTGGCGTTTGCTGCCGTGTGTCGGTTGTCGGTGTCACTGCGGGGAGAGTCTGGCATTGTGCTCTGCGTACTGGGAGCTCTGGACCTGAGCGACCAGTGAGCTGCTCAGTACTGACCACTGGCTTGACCGCGGCGCCCGTGCGTGGAGAGCCTGGTCCCCGCTGGAGGCTATATCTTTAAATTACTCACTGTGACGACACACACAGAGAGAGACACTCACACGCTGTGTGAGTGTGTCGTCTCGACTCCGTCGAAACCACCGTCCTCTAAATAAATAAACAAAGTGTAGTGGAAAATCCAAAATCCAAATCGCAAACATAGAAATCCAAACACACACAACCACGTGGCATAGGAGAGCAGGAGGTGAAAGGAGGTCAGCACAACTTCCAAGGACGCACGAGCGAGAAGCACAGCAGAGCAAATAAATAAACAAAGAGTTGGAAATAAAGAAAAACGGACAACTCTACTGTGAGATGGGTAAAAAGGAACAGGTCCCCGCCCGTGCGATCTTTGTGCAGGGTTCTTTGTGGGTGTGGTCGGCGACTAGCCGGGGTCGTCCCGATGGGGGACTAGCACACTATAGCCGTCTTCCACATGGTCCCTGCTCGGGTCCCTGCTGCGCTGCTGCTCCTCTGACTCCTAATCTCTTCGTACATCCTCCTGCTGATCTCCGCAAAGTCCTGCTCCCTCCCTCGTCTGCTCTCGCCCTGCGCGTTTGCTCCGCCTCCCCGTCTTCTGCGTCGTCTGGCGACTGGCCCTCCATAGGCTGCCCATAGTCGGTTGAGGACGCCGCCCTCCTCGTGCCTCTTCCCAACGTTCCCTCAGCGGCTGATGCCGTCTGCTCCGGCTCCCCCGTCCCCGAGTCTGCCCTGCTCTCGTCTGCGCAGTCTCTGCCTTATCGCCACTGGCGTCTCTCATCTTCTTTCTCCCCTTCTTGTAATGCTTTGCACATCGCGTCGATTCCTTTTTCGCGTGAGCACCCCACCCTCGCGCCTCGGAAAAGAGCCCGCCCAGCAGCTGAACCGCTCGCTCCCTAACTAAGTCGACGGTGCATCATCAATCAGTCTCCACTTCGCTCGACTCCTCTGTGGGTCGTGGCTCGTGTGCTTTTTTTATTTTGTGCTCGCGCTCACATCTGTGTACACTGTGACGTTGTGTGTCATGTGTGTTCAGTCTTCAGAGACAGGAGTGTTCGAAAGTAATATGTGCACGCACGCAAAACACGACTCACAACACACAAGGAACTTTAGTAGTTTAGAGAGCACACGACGTAAAACCTAGAGATATCTGAGACACATTGCTCTGCCCAGCGGCGCTCACAGCGACTCAATCGTCACAACACACGACTAGACTCCATGCACGAGAGACTAGAGACGGCACACCATGGCGAGCCTGATCGGCGCACGACCCACTGCCACTGGTGTGCACAGCGAGCGGTGTCCTCTATCCTACCGTGCTCGCGTGTCGCCCCAGAGACTCCCCACGGCCAGGCTAATTGCACACCTGCGCGCCGGCTCCACGCCGCTCCCTTGTGGGCGGGTTGCGCGGCGCCGCAGCCCCCCCCCCACCCCCCCTTATCCCTTCACCAGCCCGACGCAGCGGCCAAAGCCTACGCGGCGGCTGCGTCCCCCGCCGCGGCGGCGGGGGCGGTGTTGTTCACGGGCGTGCTGGGCCAGATGGTCTTGAGCACGGAGAGCGTGGTCGGCGCAAGCATCTTCGCCGCCGATGCGGTCGGGCTCCGCGCCACTGCGCGTCAAGACAAGGGGCGGTGGTGAGGCGGCAGGGCCGCTGGGGAGGTAAGGGTGGCAGGCGCGGGGGCGGCGGGCGTGCGGGCCGAGCGGGAAGAGGCGAGACGCGACCGCCGAGCCGAGCGACGGCGTTTGCATGGTCTGCAGAGTCTGCGGCACTAGTCCGCGGTCGATGGCGGGCGCCTGAGAGAGGGGGAGAGCCGGGGAGATACGGGGAGATACGGGGGAGATGTGCAGGCCCGCGGTCGATGGCGGGCGCCCAGAGGGAGGAGAGCTCGTCGTGCTCCTACGCGAGGTTGCAATCTCGGCTCAACCTCGGCGCATCTCGACCGCGAGGGGTGGCCGGCGCGCGCTGTGCCTCGCAGCGCGCAGCCACGCGGGCGGTGACGGCGAGGAGAGCGACATGGCACAAGCCTGGAGGGCAACCAGAGGGGGAGGCGGGTCAGAGGGGGGGGGGGGGGGGGGGACTTCCAGCCCCCTGACCGGGGAGGGCGGGGGATGGCCCCCCTTGCCACGCTCCAAAGGACTCCCTCCCTGGTTTCGGGTGGCGCCGAAACTCGTGCCGGGGGCACACTAGCCGGCGGAAGGAAAGGCGGCGGGGGCAGGGGGGGCGGCGCCCCGGGTAAATGGGCGGCTGGGAGGA